CCTTGGGCTCTTGCACCAACATGGGATTCTTGGAAGAAGCTCCTGGATCCCAGTTTTGGATCAGCTCTGCTCTGGCTGTTGTGGCCCCCTCTGAAGTTTTATATGGGACAATCAACACTATGCATAATAGGCACAAGCAGCAGCCTATAGGAAAGCCAATTTGAGTCCTGGCTACTCTGTATCCAATCTAGTTTCCAGTTGATGCTTCCTGGGAGGCAAATGACTCAAAAGTAGGTGGGATTTTGTCAACCACATGGGAGAATCAGAGAATTATTGGCTCCTGGCCTCGTGGATGGAAGACAACACTCTCTCTCCATCCTTCCCTCTCTCCCAACTGTCACTCCATTAAAAGAGAACAAAAAGTGGCTGGCACCATGGCTTAACAAGATTGGGTGCCACCTGTGATGCCAGCACTCCATATGGGTCCTGTTTCTATTGAGCTTCTTGTTAATGCACCTGGGAAAATACGGGGTATAGTCGAAGTGCTGAGCTCCAGCACCCACATGCGAGACCCAGAAGTTCCTGGCTCCAATCTGGCCCCAACCTGGCCCAGCCTCTAACTGCTGCAGCCATTCAGGAAGAGAGCCAGAAGATGAGAGATGTCTGTCTTGCCATATCTTCTTGGAGCTCTTTCAAGTAAATAAATAAATCTTTTCTACAAATTTAAAAATTGAAAAAATAAAGAAAAAGCATCCTATAAATCTGCAAAAATTCTTCTCATATGGCTAATTTTTTAAAGATTTATTTAATGGGGGGTCAGGAAGACAGATGTACAGAGAGGAGAGACAGAAAGATCTTATACCCTCTGGTTCACTCCCCAAATGGCCACAACGCTTGGAAATGAGCTGATCTAAAGCCAGGAGCTTCTTCCAGGTCTCCCATGCAGGTGCAGGCTACCACAAGGCATTGGGCCATCCTCCACTGCTTTCTTTCCCAGGCCACAAACAGGGAACTGGATCAGATGTGGAGCAGCCAGGACCTGAACTGGCACCATTATAGAATCCCAGCACTCACATTGATTGTTGGTTTATTGATTACATCACAATATCTTACTGCGTGTAAGGTTGTTAGAGGTTGAAATAATATTACAATTTACAGGTACTATTTTTCAGATTGAACTCATCTCATCTTAAATTAAGACAAACATGTGGTATCTTAACTTTTTGGGATTGGCCCATTTCCCTTAGCATAATGGTTTCCAGTTGGGCCCATTTGGCCACAAATAACTGCATTTCATTTTTTTTAATAGCTGAGTAGTATTCCATGGAGTAAATGAACCAAAGCTTTCTTATCCAGTCTTCTGTTGATGGGCATTTTGGCTGCTTCCAAGTTTTTGCAGTTTCTCATGTAACAGGTGTTTTGGATATTTCTAGGAGTACTATTGCTGGATTATATGGTATGCAGATTTTCAGTTGTTTGAGTGTTCTCCATACTGATTTCACTTGCAGGGAGCAGTTGAGCCAATCTGGACCAGCTAATTTCTTTTATCAACTTTAGGCAGTTGTGTTGATTCTATAGAAAAGCATTTGTAACACAGACAAAAAAGCAACCCTAGGTTCAAAACCAAACTCTGCTCCTTTCTATTCACTAACACCGAATGACTGTTACAGATATCTGGCCAACCCCTAGGAACATACGGTATCAATATTTTGGGAAACTAGTGTACTCCACCATTTTTTAATACAGGAGCCTTTGTCACCCAGCTCTGAAACCCTATAATCACTGATACAATCCAAAAGTATTTCTTTCATAAAACATACGGCTGGCAGAACTATTCTGTTCTGAGGATAAACATCCTGACACCTTTTTACCCAGCCAAGCACAGATATAGCTAAGGGCAAGGCCAAGACTATTTTCAGAAAGTAGCTCTAACTACTTCTGAAAATTGCTGCTACTTAAGGTGGCACTGGCTCTCAGTCACCCATAAGCCCAAACGGTAGAATGTTAAAGTGATGGCATCACACCTTTCTCTGTCCATGGCCCTTTACACTGCTAACTTTTGTTCTCAAAAAGGTGGCAGCATGGGATAGCTATTCGACCCGGCAGCTGAGGTGACAGCTTGGGCAGCCCTCACCCGGTTCCCAGAGGGCCTGGCGTGAGCTCAGTCCCTGCTACTCCACTTCTGATGAAGATTTCTCTTCACTGGCATCTAGAAAGGCAGTGCTTGATTATGATGGCCCAAGAATGTGAGTCCTGGCCACCCAGTCCTCAGTCCAGTGGGAAACCTGGATGGAATTTTTTTTTAATTTATTTATTTATTGGAAAGTCAGATATACACAGAGGAGCAGAGACAGAAGGGAAGATCTTCCATCCAGTGATTCACTCCCCAATTGAGCACAACGGCCGATACTATGCCGATCCGAAGCCAGGAGCCTCTTCCGGGTCTCCCACACCCGTGCAGGGTCCCAAAGCTTTGGGCCATCTTCGACTGCTTTCCCAGGCCACAAGCAGGGAGCTGGATGGGAAGTGGAGCTGCCAGGATTAGAACCGGCGCCCATATGCGATCCCGGTGAGGACTTTAGCCACTGGGCCACGCCGCCGGGCCCAACCTGGATGGAATTCTGAACTTCTGGCTGCAGCCTACAGCTGGCCCAGCCCTAGTTACTGCATGCGTCTGGAGAGTGAATAAACAGACAAGCAAAAGATCTTGGGCCTGACACAATGGCTCAAAGGCTAAATTATCACCTTGCGAACACTAGGAATCCACAGGAGTGTCAATTCATGTCTTGACTGCTCCACTTCCCATCCTAATCCCTGCTTGTAGCTTGGGAAAGCAGTAGAGGATGGTCCAAAGCCTTGGGACCCTGTACCTGCACAGGAGACCTGGAAGAGGATCCTGGCTCCTGTCTTTAGATCAGCTCAGCTCCAGCCACTGCAGCCACTTGGGGAGTGAACCAGCAGATGGAAGATCTTTCTGACTTTCCTTCTCTCTCTACATGTGTCTTTCCAATAAAAATAAATCTTTAACACAAACAAAATACAAATGAAAGATATTTGTCTGTCTCTGTCCTTCAAATAAGATGAAAATAAATCCATTAATTAATGAAAAAAAAATGTAGTTGCAGACTCATTTTCCTCCTCGAGAAGACAGACCAGCACAGAATAAATGTGAGACTACCCAGGAACCCTAGGAGTTCACAGTTTTTACTCAAAGCCATAAAAGAAAGCCTTAGTTAAGTATTTGAATGAGAGGTGTGCAGAAAGGAAAATTCCAACAACAGCCAGATATGTGGGGCCAGATATGTGGGGTGGCCGCAGAGCTGCCAGCTGACTGTCCGTATACAAGCCCAGGACAGCCAAACAGCCTCATCGGTACATAGAATCCTGAGTAGTAGTAAGTTGATGAACAACGCTTTCTCTCATTACACAGTGACAGGCGACAGAAGCACCTTACAAGATAGGCATTGCTGGTTATCTCCAGTTCTAAACCAAGGAAGTAACATGGAAGTTCCAGAATAAAACAAGTACTTAGAAAGTTCTGTCTTCTAATAACGAATATACTTACTTTTTATTCAACAAAATCAAAACTAAAGCAAGCACAGGGAGAAATAGCTCTGTGACTTTCAGCCAAATGAAAAAAGGAATTAGCCAGGAAGCTGTCTTCCACTTATTTCCAACCCTTGGGGAAGTCAGGGCCTACTCAGTGACTGCTTAACACACTAACAACAATGCTAGGACAGTCCTTGGGTCAAGTACTGTCCCAAGCGATAACAGTAAAGATGCAAAGGTACTTCAAAAAGCTCATGAAAAATGGAGTTAAAAGTATGAGTCTATCTGAGTGCAAAATATTTTTGAAGTCCATGCAGTCTTCACAGCATACATTTTCTACATATTATGAACAAAAATCATTCCCCACCCAAAAACTTTTGCACCAAAATAAATTCATACTTTAATTCCATGTTTCCATAAAATCCATTTTCCCTCCTATACAAACATACTCATTTTTGTCCTGGGCCACTTCAGAGGGAAGTCCTACCATTATGTCCATTTTCCCAGGTAAGAAAATGCGGCACATACGGGATAAACGTGATACATACAGCTGCCTTTATATTTGCCAGAGAAAAGACAGTACAGCCTACACTTTTAAAAACAGAAGAAAATTCAGTGTTAGGCCAGGGATATCCCATTGATGCAGTTTAAAGTGTCAAGATGTAAATATTAGGACCATTTTCAGAAGCATACTCTATAAACGAAAGCATGCTTCCCACCAAAGACCAGTGCTGGTAAATCTACAAGGAAAACATGGGCGGCAGACACCTGCTTTGCTCCCCACATGTAACTAACACTGCTGAGCAATGACCTGCCGGTCAAGCACAGGTGTCAAATTTTAACCAGGGACGCCACCTACGTATTCTACAAAAACTTGGACCACATCCCTAAACAATTCAGCTCCCTGAAAAGATTGCACTATTCTGCACACAGACATCGTGCCTTTTTTTCGGAGTTGGCGTCAGGGAAAGCAGCCAAGACACATGCATCCACCGAGGATGGTCTGGAGTGGCTCTGGCCCACAAGAGCGAGGCCATACCTCCTCCGTCCCTCCCCGTCTCCCCGGACAATTCTGGATCAGCTCATCGAGGTCCCAGCATATAAATCTCCCCCCTCAATCATAAGTGGAGAAGAGCCCCAGAGAGCGGCCAGCGTGGGTGGAGGACGCCAGGCCGCTAGAGGAAGGGACACCGATGCGGAGGCCCAGGGAGCAGTGGTCTCGTTGGCTGCATTTCCAGAATTTTCAAAGCAGCCACTTAAGGATGCCACGGAGGACTGAACAAGCCGACAGCCATCCCCGACCCCTAGCAAGCTTAGGCAGCCCCAGCACAAGGTCTCCTCCAGTATTCCGCGGCTCGCAACCTTCGCCTCGCCGGCTGACTTCAGGCCCGCCCCCTTGGCGGTCAGGCCCGCTGCCTGCCTCACACACGAGCGCCGCGGTCAACCCAAGAACAAGTCTGTGACTTCATTCCCGCCAGCCCTCTACTCTCGTGCTCCCGGGAAATACTCACTTGCCAGCCAAATCTTTATGAGAGCCGCTGGAATTCATGAGCTGAGCCAAATCCTGGCGCACGGCTGCCGCCATCTTTCCTCCACCTCAACCGGGGCTGCCGGGAGCCCCTTACAGCCTGAAAAGTAAACGAGTACAGTCCTCCAGGCAAGGCCAGAGAGAACCCGACACACCACAGAGTGGCGCCTCTGTGGGCCAGAGCGTCCGTGGGGCGGGGCCTGGACTGTCTCCGCCCTCGAGATTGAGTGACACAGACACCCGAGGCCCCTCCCTCGGGCCTGGCTCTCACGCTCCGACTTGGGATTGGCTGATGAACTTGAAGGCAGAGCGTGGCTTGTGCATCTCCACTGAGGGCTCGGTGCGTGGAACGAGTATTTCTTCGCTCTGCTCCGGGTTGTGTTCTTGAAAGCCACGAGTTGTTTCTATTTCCCACTTCATCACAAACAGATGCTTGTCTTGAAGAATACAATTAAGAGCGTCCGCGTTCCCACTCTTACCCTCTTTTCCCTTTTAGTGCTTGTTCGTGCAGTCTAGTGTGGCCAGAACGATGCCACTTCAGTCTGATGTGCCGCGGTACTTACACCCCCCTTCGATCTGTACGTAGTTCCACCTGAGTGACTGATAAAATGTTCACTCGCCCTTTGTAGGTGATGGTATTTCATGGCCCTTGTATCCGTATAATGTTTGTGCAAATACAAGCGAATAAATGGGAAATTGTGTGCCTCCGTCTCACAGAAAATAACGTTTTCATTGTTCTATTCTTGCTTGTGTGTTGCATTTCGTTCTTGCTTGCTTTTTCGTATTGTTTTGTTTTATTTTTTACTTTTTCTGAAGATCTTGCCATGTTAGTCCAATCTAAAAAGTCATTCATTGTACAGCTTGGAAAGTAATACATACTGAAGATATGGCAAAATTGGTTTATTAATTACAATAGGACACTTAAGTTGGGGGAATGGGATATTATTGTTGTTTTCAAGAAAAGGAGAGAGGACAGAGTGAGCTCCAATCTCTTAGTTCACTCCTTGGATGTCTGCAACAGCTCCCATCTGGAACCAAAGTCAGGTTCAAAACCAGAGCCAGGAACACAACCCAGGTCTTCCCCACGTGAGAAGCAGAACCCTAATTACACGAGATACCCTGCTGCCTCCCAGAGTCTGCTGGAGTCAGGAGCAGGGACCCCAAAATCAAACCCAGGAGCTCCAAAAGCAGTTGTGAGGGTCTTAGCTGCTAGAACACTTACTTTTCTTTACTTTTGATCAGTCATTGCTGTAATGAATAACCTTTCTCATGCGTCATTTTATATACATTAATGTACAGGCCAAACACATTCCCAGAAAGACACTGAAAGGAGACATGCTTAGAATTTTGGTAGAACTTACAAAATTGTTATTGCAGAAATAGCTATTCTTATCATTTTGCTCTCCTAATAGAAAGACCTAAGAATGCAATTTCTCTTTATTTCTTTTATTTAATTTGAAAGGTAGAATTAGAGAGAGAGAGAGAGAGAGAGAGAGAGAGAGAGAGGACTTCCTTGGGCTGGCTTACTCCTCAAATGTCCACAATTACCAGAACTAAGCTGATCTGAAACCAGGAGCCAGGAGCTTCCTCTGTATCTCCCACGTGGGTGCAGGGGCCCAAGAACTTGGGCAATCCTACACTGCTTTCCTACGGCATGCGCATGGTGCTAGATTGGAAGTGGAACAACCAGACATGATGCCCATATGGGATGCTGGCACTGAAGGCAGAGGCTCAGCCATGGCACATTCCCTAACAATGCAATTTCTTACAGTCTTGGCTGCAAAGGCCGTCTTGAGATGTGATAAATGGTATGTTTCCTCTGTTACAAAGGAGAGATGTAAAATACAGAAAAAGAAATTTCTTTTAAGAAAATGAGGTAGGGCCCAGAAAGGTAGCCTAGTGGCTAACGTACTCGCTTTACACACCCAGGATCCCATATGGGTGCTGGTTTATACCCTGGTTGCTCTGCTTCCCTTCCAGCTCCGTGCTTTTGGCCTGGAAAAAGCAGTAGAGGACGGCCCAAAGCCTTGGGACCCTGCACCCACCTAGGAAACCGAGAAGACGCTCCTAGCTCCTGACTTTGAATCAGCTCAGCTCTGGCAGTTGAGGCTACTTGGGGAGTGAACCAACGGATGGAGAATCTTTATCTCTACTTCACTCTGTAAATCCGACTTTCCAACAAAAATAAATAAATCTTAAAAAAAAAAAGAAGAAAGAAAAGAAGTTAGAGGGGCTATTATGTTAGCCTAATAAGCTAATCCTCCATCTGCTGGCACCAGCATCCTATATGGGCATCTGTTCATGTCCTGGTTACTCCACTTCCTATCCAGCTCCCTGCTGATAGCTTGAGAAAACAGCAGAGGACATGAAAGGCCCGGAGGAAGCGCCTGGCTCCCAGTTTTGGACCAGATCAACTCTGACCATGGCAGCCATTGGGGAGTGAATCAGAAAATGCAAGCTCTCTCTCTGCCTGTCTCCTTCTGTCCATATCTCTGGCTTTCCAACATACATAAAATAATATGTTTTTTTTTCTTTGAAAAGGAAAAGGAGGTAGAAATCGCCTACATCAAATCAGAGCTCATTCCATTGGCAAAAAAAAAAAAAAAAGAAGGCTTAATAATAGCCAGTTTGGAATTTTGTGCTCTTTGCAGAACAGTATACTCCCTCCCTAAGAAAAAGAGTTCAGTTGTGTCTGAGGACAAAATTAGAAAAACCTAGCTTAATGATTAAACTAGATTTATTTGGCTTTATTTTCAATTCCAGAATGAGCAGCACTGTATTTTATAAAACAAAATACATCTTCAATTAGCTGAGGAAAACAGATAGGTTTTATAATCATAAAATAGGACTAAATGAGGCAAAAACAAGAAAACAAAATGCAGTCATTTCAAAGGAGAGACAGAAAAATCAAAAAATGAATTATTGGTTAACGTTAAGTTGCTTTAGCTTTTTCATCAAAGTTTAAAGCAGAGAAAATTTCTTCATGTCAATGGAAACTGACCTCTTTGTGAAGTTTGGTTATTATCTAAATCTGATTTCTCAGAAGGTCAGATAAATGGCTTAGTGTCAGTTTAGTGACATGGAAATTTAGCGTGAGTGACTCTATTATTTTGGCTGGATCATTTGGGGCTGAGTCCCAAACAATGACCTCCTGCAATTTTAATTTAAATGTTCTACATCAGCTCAAATCCAGGATGTCTGGTAATGCACAGTCCTGTCACATTAGGATGTGGCTTTTCATGGTCCAGGAACATAAAACAAATGCTATCCTCCGTGTCTGTACATATAAGACAAAACAACAGTGGAACAACCACAATAAAACTCAGAAAAGGAAGACCGGGAAATATACAGCAGTGATTATTCCATAGCAATGGCACGATCCTAGGCAATAGTTGAAAATACCCACTGTGCCCTGCCCTGTTGATAGAATACAATTTCAGGGATAGACCTTGATTCTGCTCTCTGAGATGGTTTCCTGTGTTCATTGTATTCTCTGGGTCCAAATGTGGCCCTCTCAGCAGGGTGTCCAAGATGACTGAAATCACCAAAGGTAACTAACCCCATGGACCTGTATATTATGTTCTTTTCCTGGCATACATATCTATCTATAACAACTTATTCATTACACACAGTAATAATTGATCACAATGCCTAATAATGGAGTAGACCAACTGTATGTACTGTAATAAAAATGAGGTGGTCTCTCTCAAAATATTATTATGTAGGGCCTGGCCGTGTAGCCTAGCGGCTAAAGTTCTCGCCTTGAATGCGCCAGGATCCTATATAGGCGCCAGTTCTAGTCCCAGCAGCTCCACTTCCCATCCAACTCCCTGCTTGTGGCCTGGGAAACCGGTCGAGGACTGCACCCGTGTGGGATACCCGGAAGAAGTTCCTGGATCCTGGCTTTGGATCGGCATAGCATCGGCCATTGCGGTCACTTGGGGAGTAAATCATCAGACGGAAGATCTTCCTCTCTGTCTCTCCTCCTCTCTGTATATCTGACTTTCCAATAAATAAATAAATCTTTAAAAATATATATTATTATGTAGCTCTTAGCATCTTTACTCTATTACTTTAAATGTAGACCCAGTTCTGACACATGCACTCTATAATCCTGTGATTTTCCCCATGATTAGAGTTCTGATTCCAGTGATCCAGTTGGGAAATCCTCAAAGAAACTTCACCAGAGGTGAACCCAGACCTGACCTGACTGCTGTGTGTCAGCCAGTGTGGGGTCCGGCTTAGTTCATCACCCACCGTCAGCCTCTACACAAACTAGTGGCTATAGTTACTTAGCCAGTTCTGTCCCTAGCCCCATCTCATGGATGCTGTGGTCCAGTGCTCAACACATGCTTGGCCCTCACACATGCCAGCAGGAACTGCAGCCCTGTTTCTCATGCTCGCTGGTGAGTTATAGCCCATCAGAGCGGTGCCCACAATTTTCCTGCTAGGCCCACTCCCAGCCTCAGATCTTGCACTTTCCAGGTGGTGCTGTGGTCTAGCCTGACAGGACTTGGTCCCAGTCCCAGCACCTGCCAGCTGATGATGAGGCAAAGTGCAACCAGCCTACACCTACTCTGGCTCATGTCTGCTCTAGTGGATATGATTGCTTAGCTCAGCCTGGCTCTCCCCCTAACCCAGCTCACATGCAGGCCATGGGCTCTGTAGCTCTGCCCAGCCTGGTCTGCCTCCAGTCCCAGCTCTCGTGTCACCAGCTCTCATGGCCCAGCAGTGGGATCCTCGGAGCCCTCCTCTTGGGCTCGTTGTTCTCCCTCACCACTGGATCTTACAAGTGTTGGTGGATGCTGTGGTCAAGTCTGGCACGACCTACCTTTCCTCAACGTCCCCCAACGAGTGTTGCAGCCTGGCTCTGCCTCAAGTTCCAGCTCATGATGGTGGGTACTACAACCTAGTCCAGCCCCAGTCCTGGTCCTAAAGTGAACTGTATGGCCAAAAAAAAAGATGTACTTACCCTGTGGGGATTCTTCACAAACCTCTACTGTCTGCCTGCAACAGCATCCTGCAATAGCACCCTGACATGTCTGCACAAAAACCTCTCCTTAACTTACTTTGACAATGATCAATGGGCAAGAACGTTGTGTATGTGGAGCTGATGTTTCATCAGGCCTCATGGTGAAGCATGACTGCGCTGGGCTGGGATGTACAAAGGGCCGAATAATGAATGCTTTAGATTTTTAGTTCACATACGGCCTCTGTACGCTGCTGCT